TCGAGAACAATGTCAAATAGTGGAACTCGAATGCAGCATCGATTAAAGAAGCATAATCGTTGAGGAGGGGTGTTGGAATATTCAGTACAACGATTCTGCAGCGTTCTGCGCATCCCGGCGCGCAGTCCACGAGCCGAGGTGATGCGAGCTCCTTCCCCCTTGCGTGCTCGCTGATATAGCATCTGCCCAGCCGCGCTGTGCTATCGAATTTGTGATTAATATATCTTTTCTTTTTGGCATAAATCTGTTTCGGCTCTTAATCAAACCTGATACAGCGTTCCTACATCCACTAATAACCAACAACTTTCTTCTGAGTTTTATAATTTTATATTTCACATATAACGCTTTTACTATTGTACATAGGAGTACTGAGGGCACTATGAGACACTCACTCAATTTTTTAATAACATTTTTTCCTTTCTTAGCTCTCTTATTCCGTCAAATTTTTGTTTACCACATGAGAGCTTTATGCATTTATTAGAAATGTTAATTTCTTAAAATCAATATAGATATTTTTTAACACAAGTGGGCTTAATCTACATATTAAAAATATATTTATTGTAGCTGATTCTATATTTGTGTTGTAGTCATCAACACCAGCAACAGCATGTGGACACGTCTATAGTATTGGCTATAGTGATGCTGAAAAGAAAGCTATAGTAGACAAACACAATGAACTGATTGTGAGACAAAAAGTCGCATCGGGTCAGGAAATCAGGAGACACCCTGGTCCGCAACCTCCGGCGGTTAACATGCCAAATTTGGTAAAACATATTACATATTATTATGGTAAATTAATAAATATAATAATTGACAAGATACTAAATAAATTCATATGTCCTCATTAATTTCAAGCAATTAAATTTTTATCTTGTTTATTATTATTTGCAAAGTCAAAAAGTTCTGTACTACTTTTTCTTCTGACAAACAGTTATCGAAATATCGTAATTTAAATATTGTAAAAGTTTTCCTTCAGTAAAAACAAAATGTTAAACAAATGAAAACCCGCTTCAGACGAAAGGTGTTCAAACTAATTGATAGAAAGATGATATAACAAAAACAGTAATTTCCATTTTTTTACATTAAGTTGATTTTGGCCTCACCTTGCTGATGCCACCCAGTCAAACTGATAAATAAATATTTTTAAGTCCTACAATTTTTACCTGATTGTATTTTTTCAATAAATCAATAATTTCTGAGATAATTTACCGTCGGAACTTTTGAAATGCACTTAATATTTTCTTACAATTAGACTTGAGATAAAGAACTAGAAAATATTGCGCAAAGATAGGTCATTCAATGCGATTATGGTAGGTGCAGTGCAGAAATGTGGGTAAGTACCAATTTATGATAGATATACGATATTGCTTCCTCATAGAGGAAGCTTTGTTTGCGTGAAAAAAATTTTTTTCCAGTTTTCTTTGGGAATATGTTTAAAATGTTTTAAAACGTCTAAAAATATTATTTTTACAAAATGTCTGTGTGTGTGTGTGCGTATGTGTGTATGTACGCATTCGAATGTCTGTGGTTGCTGTAACTTCTGTAAATTTTGAGATATCGGGCTAATTTTTTTCAAACGTATAGAATCACTAAAGGAAGGTTCGTATTGATTTTTGCGATGATCGGTAAATGGGTTCCTTTTTGAAAAAATTTTGAATTTTTTGACCAATGTCTGTGGTTGCTCTAATTTTCCTAAATTTTGAGATATCGGGCTAATTTTTTTTTTAAAACTTCGAGAATCACTAAAGGAAGGTTGGTATTGTTTTTTGCGATGATCGATAAACGGGTTTTTTTTTTTAAATTTTGAATTTTTTGAGAAATGTCTGTGGTTGCTCTAATTTTCTTAAATTTTGAGATATCGGGCTAATTTTTTTTTAAAACTTGGAGAATCACTAAAGGAAGGTTGGTATTGATTTCTGCGATGATCGGTAAATGGGTTTCTTTTTGCAAAAATCTTGAATTTTTTTAGAAATGTCTGTGGTTGCTCTAACTTTTGCAAATTTTGAGATATCGGGCTATTTCTAATTCTATTATTCTTTCCAGTCTTTTCTACCGCTATTTCATATATAACTGATTAATATTCGGTTGATTAGTTCTTAAGTTATAGATGTTTGAAATTTCGCGGAATCCGTACATCAACACTTTTTCATTATACTGGTTGTTTCAAAAGTGATGCTACAAAATGTAATGGTGAAATGTATACGTTAGTATAAGCAAAAAGTCCTAATAAACATAGGTAGAGGCCCCTCTTTTTCATTATACAGGGTGTTTCAGAAGTGATGGTACACAATGTAATAAAGAAATGTACACACTTGTAGAAGCAAAAAGTTTCAATACACATAGGTAGAGGTATACCTCTTGAATATGGCGATGACCGGTAAAAGGTTTTCTAATTTTTAATTTTTTTTTTAGAAATGTCTGTGGTTGGTGTAACTATCGCAAATTTTCTTTAATATTGATTTCCAAAAATTTCAAATGTCTATAACTCAAGAACTGTATGTCAAGAACTAATTAATCATATTTTAATGAATTATATATGAAATTTGGATTGAAAAAACTGAAGAACAATATAATATATAATTAGAAAAAAGTAAAGTAAAGTAAAGTAAAGTGTACAAATTAGAAATTTGCACATGGCTTCCTCATAGAGGAAGGTTTAGGAGCGAAATCTAATTTTTTTCGATGTTTCTTGAAAGTGTGCAAATTAGAAATTTGCATATTGCTTCCTCATCATTGAAGCGTGCAAATTGAAAATTTGCACATTTCTTCCTCACCATTAAAGTAAGCAAATTAGAAATTTGCACATTGCTTCCATTGTTATGGCTTCCTCATAGAGGAAGCTTTAAGAGAGAAATCTAACTTTACTACGATGTTTCTTGAAAGTATTCAAATTATTCTTATTTCGCTCTTAAAGATTCCTCTATCAGGAAGCCATGTGCCAATTTCTAATTTGCACACTTTACTTTAATTTAATTTTTTCTAATTACAAATTTGCACATTGCTTCCATTGTTATGGCTTCCTCATAGAGGAAGCTTTAAGAGCAAAATAAGAATAATTTGAATACTTTCAAGAAACATCGTAGTAAAGTTAGATTCCTCTCTTAAAGCTTCCTCTATGAGGAAGCCATAACAATGGAAGCAATGTGCAAATTTCTAATTTGCTTACTTTAATGGTGAGGAAGAAATGTGCAAATTTCCAATTTGCATGCTTCAATGATGAGGAAGCAATATGCAAATTTCTAATTTGCACA